CATTTTTAACGAAGCTCGTGAATTTTGGATCAATTTTAAGGCGTGATAGGCATCGCACATTATGAAAATGGGATCAGCAGTGACTGAATGAAAGATGTTCAGAGCTGTAAGTGTCAATATCAGTACGCAACTCTTTACACATGGTGAGATTAGACTGCAATCCATTAAAAGTAATCGAGGTAATTTTTACACCTGTACTATGCAAACGCAAATAAAGCAAATAAAGCAAATGCAAATAAAGCAACTTAAACATCTTGCTCTATGTCAGCTTTTTTACATCCTAATAATGAGAATAAGAAACAGTACGCTACGGGAATTTTCTATTTACTGTTTACAGCAACAATCATTATGACAAGAACATTTTTAGCTTCTAGGACGATATGGCTCTTACATCTTTTCCCTGCAGTTATGTACTCATACTCTTTTACACAAACAAGGTCGACTTGTTTTTTAATGCGTATTTCATCCATTACTAAATTATAAAGAATATTTTGTCACTATCCTCCTTCTGTTCCAAATCTATTTTTTTTAAATAGTATCTAAGCTAGCTGCGCATACTCCGGATTCACATGCAATTTTGCTGTACCGTTTGCTAATCTTTACAGGATGTGGTAGGTTCTTCAAAAAAGATTTATGGAAGTAATCATGTGCTTTAGCTGCGTAAAAGTAAAGGGTTGTGGCAAACGATTTCAAAGCTCAGGAAAAGGAGTTCTTAAATTAGGTTATTTTTCAGTAGTCTCTCCAGTAATTAATGTGTGTGAGGAGGGATGTAGTCCTACAAAACGAAAATAGTGCTTACTAATGAATTTGAATTTTGGACAAAATATGCAAGAGAGCTTCTGTCGGAGTGTCAGTAAATATTTGAGTATTTACTGAAATACGTAACTTAAACTAAATTAAAGTATACTCCTTATTTTGTAATAAATTGTTCTACACTAATACTGCGTCTGAAACAAAGATGGATACTTGGATACTTTTTTGCTTTTATTCTGCGTTTTAAGGATTATAGTTCTTTTTGGCCCAGTTGTAACAGTTTCTTGGGATCTGGTAAATTTTCAGCAGAGAATAACAGTGACTCTACATTAATATTGATCAGAGATTCCTTTGTGCGAAAAGTGTTAGATACACTCTTTGATTCACTATAACCAGATAAAAAAATATCTTGTTTTTCATCGTTTATTACTGAAATATGAGTTGAAATTTGAATTGTTACAAACCAATTGCCAAAAATTTTTGTCCCATCATCATTGCTCAGGCTCACAGAATCAGTGAAGCATCTATAAACATAACGAAGTACTAAGTACACCTACTGTGTTATTTAAAAATAAAATATTTGAACTGTTATGTGATTTTCTTACTGTACCTGTACCTTATTTGACTCCAAACTGTGAGGGGGATTTCTTTTTTGTTTTTGTACAAGGCTCTTTATTACTTGAAGAACTTCTTAACGTATCACGGTTCTTCAGAAATTTATCGTTATTCTCAAGCGTATCTGTCAACAGGGATGCGTGGCTGTTTCAGTCAAGAATGAACACGATGTTTTATGTTAGACATGACTCTGTAAATATAGCTAATGCTTATTCTGCTTACCCGTTCAATATCTTGTAATTAGAAATAGTAGTTGATACAGAATTATGATTCAACCTTTGCCGTACACCACCTTCAATGAAACATTTTTTTTCAAAATGTCTACTATACATGTGCAGAACCTTTAGTAAGACATTTGCATACGCACTGATCTTTTTCAACCACACTTTTTTTATTGTTTTTTGGTAGGTACTCTAATAAAACTAATAAATATTTTGTGACAGCTCCTAACCTGCAATCTTAGACATGTAGCATAGATAATTTCATTTACTTACGCATGCAAACTTAAATTGATAGCTTCTGGGTAATCTTTCTAAGTTCTGCAATCGAGAATGCAACATTCAATTGGCATATCTACTCTTCACAGGTGTATAAGTATTATTATAATATTAAAAAGTAATATTAAAAGAAAGAAACAAAATATAAGCTTCTACCAAAAAAAACGTCACTCCAGGCTGCATCAGCTTCATTGCATGTTTGGCTACAAAATAGCAGACGAAAGCACGATATAAGCGTACTCACAACACCTGACACTACTGTTTATATACATCTATGCATACAGTGTTGCTGTAACCAATCAACGCATTGCTAAAGAGAGAGAGAGAGAGTATGTCATACTATTCTTTCTGCCTGCCTACACTCTTTTCTTACTAAATGCTGCCTCCTGTAGTATATAAGTATTTTAAAGTCTTATTTATAAAGTAACTCAAATGTTAATAAAGGGCGAATTACTTTATTTCGATGAAAATGAGGTATAAAAGTTAAAGGGATAGACTTAAAAAGTGATGAATTAGTTATGGTGTAAATTATATAATACAAAATACTTTAACACTTTCGGGAATAACTTATTTCTTTGTTATTTTGTATGTATTGCTAATATTTTGTATACATATACACAGTCGTAGACGTATGTTGAATATCTTTTCTATAGAGCATGTCATACTATTCCTCCTGCCTGACTACACATTTTTCTTACTGAATGCTGCCTCCACTAGTATATGCTCTAAGAAATCAAGCTTATCAAATGATTTAGTTTCAGATATTTGTTGCTGGCATCGAAAGGAAAAACAAAATAGGTATCATCTATAGAATTAAATTATATTAGAACTATAACTATAATTCATTAGCATATAGAATTAGTACATGGTGCAATAAGTTACGAAACTTTCATTAATAAAGAATATTCTTCTTAACAATACACTTAAACACTAAGATATGGGCTTGTTCACTGATAGTGAGCCACCTTGTGCGAGCGGTGCTTTTTTCGCCTGAGCACGCGCTGGTCAACTTACTCATAATGGTTGAAAGATAGCTAAAAAGTTATTAAAAAATACAAATTGACAGATTTTAATCTGCTCTTTCTGATAGTGCTTTTTTTCTCAAAACCTTTTTTTTATGGAGAAAAATGAGTTAGAAGTTCAGGACGTTTCTTTAAAATTTGCCATGGTTGAAAAAAACAAAATTTGCAGGAATCGAAAGAGCAATTCTAAAACACTCCACAAATTTTTAGAGGGGGGAGAAAAAAATCCGTAAATTACAAGCAAATGAAGACGATGGCATGAACAAGTTGCACGCCAGCGAGGTGGTCTTATACAACAAACTTGTTCGTAACAGTGTGTTGCCTCGTGCAGCGTGATGCAAGTGACAACTGCACGCCTCAGTGCCGTGCAACATGCTTATGCCATTATATTCATTTGCTTGTAATTAGCCCATTTTTTACTCTCTGACTTAAAAAATTTGTAGAGTTGTTGTTTTAGCATTGCTCTTGTAATTCCTGCAAATTTTATTTCATCAAACCATGACGAATTTCACAGAAACGTCCTGAATTTCTGACTTATTTTTCTCTACAAAAAAAAAAAAAATAATAATATAAAAAACAAACAGCACTATCAGAAAAAGCAGATCAAAATCTGTTGATTTGTATTTTTCAATTATTCTTTTAGCTTCTCAGCCATTATATGCGAGTTGAACACAGCGTGTTCGGTCAAAAAAAGTTCCTTGCGCTCACGGTGGCCCGCTCACAGTCGACAAGCCCATACATTGAAAAAAAAGTTTGTTTCTTATTAAAAAAAAAATTGAATCAGTACTTATGTCACTATTTTAAAATAATTATGAAATAATCAAAAAAATAAAAAGCTAATTACACAAATAACTTTACCTTTGGAAGTGAAGCAAAAAATTCAAGTGTAGAAAAAGTTCAGTGATAAAATCAACAGCCATTGTTATTTCTTAGCTCCAACTTACGAAAAACAATTTCATATTTTACTTAGCACAAGCTTCTGCCGTAGCTATCACTTTCTTATCTGACTAATTTTATGGATGATCATAGTAAATATTACTAGTTTTATACATTTATAAGATAAAATATATCAAAATTTAAGTGCAATCTTGTATGACAAGTAACTAGTAATATGTAGTTACATTAAGTAAAAGCTGTATATCATTATATATCATAGTATATGGTAGAATGATAGTGAATGGTGCGACAGCAATTCATTTTTGCTCTCATATAGCTGCTAATATTTATTTTTTCTCGTACGTCAAATGTCACTCTAAAACTGTGAGACCTGCTGTGTTTTTATTTGACATTTTTGAGAAATTAAAAAATAAAGCTTGTATTTAATAAATGCAGTAATAAGGATATACTACATTCAATAGTGTTTTTAGATACATTTATATTTAAGTAATAGTATTAATCGTAAAACAAAATTTTTTTACTAATTACTGCTATGTGAAAGACCTACATATGAGAAAAGAACATACTGAAGTACTTTTTATGAAAAGTGTTTTCCAGATATTATTAACTTATAAATGATTTGCATTCTATTTCATTATCATTTAAAAAAATGATTACTGATCCAATCTTAGTTGTCAAATTCAAAATAATAACTCATGCTTTACTATATTTATTGACTGCATAACATAGTATTGAGAAGTTATGGAAATAAATTAACAAATAGTTCATGCAAAATATATAAATTTAATACTTTATACAGACACTGCTTATTATCTTATAGTAATTATTGTTGTACCCTTAAGTATTAGTATTTGTGTTATTCGTATTCTTGTTCTTCATATAAGTATTATGATAACTATTACAACTGCTGATACTATACTTATAACTATTATTAGTAGTAGAAATACATTTTTACTATTCTGTATAGGCTTAGATATAAGATATGAATTCGCACAAATAGTTGTAGTGACGTATTTACAAATGAGATTTGAAAACTTTTTTTGCATCAGTCTTTACTGTTGCTGTCTGAAGGTTCTAATGACATAAAATTTATAAATTTGTCTCTATATTTCCTTATACTTATCATACTTTTTGTATATCTTAATCCTAATCACAATACATTTTCATGTACAAAGATATTCGAGTATTTTACAATATTATATACAATCATAATTGGTGCAGTCTCTTTGAACGAGTAACTTATTCCTTCATTATCTAATTTGTTAAATAATAACCCTATCAAAAGCTATCATTCGGAAATGGTGATGTTATTGGAGGTAAATGATCACCACAAGTTGGAAAGTTTGGTGGAATGGGTGGTAGATCAGCATGTGTTCCAACATGTAAAATTAAATTCATTCCAATGACGATGTGGAACAAAAAATGGCAGTGGAATAACCAGTAACCTGGAAAAATAAATATGGTCATTATTTTAATCATTTTTAGAAGAATTGTTTTAGAAATATAAGTTATAAAAGTATACATTTACTCTTGACACATATGTTTTCTAACTACAATGATAGTCTAACACATTATAATTGTACTTTTCATTTACATATTTGTGATGCTGCCTTAATTATGTGAGTTACTTTATCTTAGGATAAAAAATAGCACTAATATGTTTATATAAAATGAGCAACACAAGGTCAGAAGGAGAATTAAATTGGTAATTGCTTTTCTTGATCCATCCTTAGGACAGCCCACACCATGACTAACATAAGTTGAGAATTTAGTGAATTATCTGATTTGGAATATTATTTCCTTTAAAAAGGCAACGTAACAGAGGCTTAACATCTGGTTTATGTAATATGTCCAAGCAATTAATAAAAATTCCTGTCTGCCCTTTACAATGGAATTTTTTTTCGAAATTTTTGCATACAATTCATATAAACATAAAGATAAAATTATGAGAGCAAAAAAAAACGAAACGGTAAGCAATAAAATTTTCATAATATACTATTATCAGAAAATAGATTTTTCTATGCCATTAACTTAAAAAGTAAACGTTATTGTAAACGCAATGGATGGACATATTCTCTTTTCAGTTTCTGTACCATAAACAATCGTGTACGTGCCATGATAGATATAACTTTCTGTACTTTTTTGGCCTCGGTATTTGTTAAACTATTACATTTTTGTAAACAAATATTTAAATAAGAATAAAATAATGATTAAAAAAAAAAATTAAACGTGTAATTTCTAATGTAGATGATGAAATTACTTTATTTCGGCAAAACTCTCTCTGTGTGTGTGTGTGTGTGTGTGTGTGTGTGTGCATGCGTGCATCAGTGCACATATGTGTTTACCAGTATAAAAGTGGAATCAGTTGTATCACTGATATTTATTATACTACTTTTATTATCTAGGGTAGATGGTCCTATTATCATACCCTCTCCGAAATATTGATGGCGTTACTTATCATCACTTGAGTAACTAATAGAATATTATTTGTATACCAATTTTTTCACAAGTTGAAGTACGTAATAGGTTAATATTTTTTTAAAGATTTACACAATCAAACAACTACACAAACTTTGTGAACATCCTTATATTTTAATATACTTTATAAAATAAACGGAGATAAAATTTGGTCATATTTCTTAGGTCCTTAAATGTAAGTTTTTTTAATTTTAAAAGCATTTTAATTTAATAATTCTCGTAAGCTTACTGTTTCACATATTAATGAAATTGTTGGAGCAAGTTTTTAACCAAGAAAATTTTTTTTTTAATTATGTACTTAAAAAACTTTCAATTAACCATTTTGATAATTTAACCTTGTAAACCCCAAAAAAGATTAGTTGTTTTCTTTTCAATAACGAAAAATTAGAACAATAAAAAACAAAAACAATACGTCAATCAATCGAAAATACTTAAATCAAACGTTTTTTTCATTACGTTTTAACTTTAGTGCATTCCCTGAAATTGCTCCACTGGTTTTTTGAAAAATTTGATTTTTTTAATGATGATAACATTTTTTGCGATGTCTCGTATCTATAGAATATTGAAATAGTTAAGTAATTATACATTATGAAATAATATAATCACTTAATAGTTCAAGAAGATACTTTTTTTGTAATGATTCAAAAGTCTAAGAGCCAAGTTTATTATACCTGCAATTTTGAAAGATAATTTGAACTTTTGCTATGTTTTGTTTACGCATATGCTTATAAACACGAGTATAAATGTTTAATCATTTAAACTTTAACTTCAAAGATTGTCATTTATACATTCATTTACGTTTTTCATAACTTTCAAGTACAATTTTTTAAATAAATATCAAATAACAATGAACAAGTATATAACTTGAAACTTTTAATAAAAGTTTAACTATGTCTTCATGAATTGTATAATTGTAGACAAAAATGTTTTCATAAAAATAAAACTCACTGGTAATGTTTTTAAAAATGCTTATACTTTTTAACAGTGACTTTGATAAATATATAACTATTATTGCACTTGTAATTTGTAACTGATGAGGCAAGTTTGGGGTATGGGTAAACTTATCGTGGACAACTCTTTCAGTATAACCTAACAGTTTTTCTAGAAAATTTTTTGGTACAACATCAATGGTGTGACTATACCGAATAGCTCTGTGGGTCGTATTATTTTTCAGGTTAATATTTATCAGGAAGAGAAGGATTAAAAGCCTTGAAATCCACTGTCATCTTTTAACGTTCAGTCACCATGTCACCACTCTATATTCTTCTTTATATGTTTATTGAATATTAATGTACACTTCAACAACTAAATTTATTAAAATGAATACCTATAAAACACTTATTTATTGGTACATTTATATATACAACTATAAAACCTCTAACTCACTATCACTGAACCATTAAAGAAATGAAACAATCGTATTAACTATCTTGCATAGAACTTTCATCATTTACAAGAGAGTTTGAGACTTAATCAGGTAGGAACATCTGGATCTTTTAGTTGATGGAAATTACTATTTTACAATTATACACTGTAATTACACGCTTCACATAGGTCACGTACTTTCTTTTAACCCCCATGTCTGACAATTTCTTCATCTGCGGGAAGGTATTGCCAATAATTCGTTTAAGTGCCGTAAAACTCATTTTTCTATGATAATGATAACACAGTAGTTAAAATATTACCATTTAGTTATAAGCATAATACTTACAACAAAAAGAGCGGGTTTCATAGTCTTCAATTCTTGTAGGAAATCTGTCTGCCTTAAAACTTACTGGAGAAAGAATATTCTTTAGAACTGTTCTCATGCCCCCATGGTAGGATATTTATAGTATTCAAAAGTAGATAACGTTTATTATTAACATGACTTAGAGTTTATTCTTCTTGTCTTTCCTTATAAATAACATGCAGCCATACGCGTGTGTTCTATTTCGTGCATACAACTATAATCTCGTCTCAAGATGAGTTTGGTCTAGCAATGAGTGCTTCTACACTAAATCTCTCTTCCCACTTCTTCGCAAGTTCAACATTAATTCGTCTTTTTTCATTTTTCACAGTCTTACTGTAAGCTGCATTAATTATAAGCTTATAAGATAACTTTTAAAACTCATTTTATTGATTTCTATCTTTTTGTAGCGTTGAAATCAACATACTTTTTAGTTAATCTCTTTCTTAAAATTATAGAACACGATGAAAATTTCATAAAATAAGTTTTTTTTTAGAGGTAACGGTATTTCTTTGTAATGCACAAGTTTTTTTTCATTAAACAATGTAGCAATACATTTCTTATATCTTAAATAAGGTGGTGCTTAGTATTCTGTACAAAACTGTCAATTTTCATAACAAATATAAATACTCTTGGTTTATTTCTTATATTAAACCTTTATTTTTTTATTCACTGAAATTAGATACGTCTTGATTACAAACACTTTTAACATATTTGAACCCACCATATGGTTAATGCTGTGTTGTTGCCCATTAATAAGGGTAATTAGTGTCATAATACATGAGGTATTTATCTTTTTTTTGAATTGTAACATTCACTTACAAATGAATTATTTGGCTTAGCATATCTATAACAGCATTGAGTTGGTATTTTTCTTATACCTTATTCAACAAACAGCAATATTATTCCTAAATAAATTAAGAACTCAAGCTAAATCTTGGTTCTCTCAAGCACTACTGATAAATATATGTTTTTATACTTATTGGGTGAATTTTTGCGAATCTAGCATTTAATGTTCATAAACTTGATTGTTTTACTTAGAGGGGTTATGTAACGAGGCTATACATATATCTCTGTTTGGTTTAGCGTTCGGGAGTGCCCCAGAGCGCTCTAAGCTAGGGGTTGGCGATACCTACCTCATACCTAAAAAATACTCGATACTTTTTATGAAGAACCGCTACTTTACCCAATACTCTCTAAGCTTTGATTTTTTTGTGTTGATACTTTTTGACTGAGTATCAAGCAAAGTATTACCAATTTGTGGCTCTATTTGGCAATGATGTCTTGGTAAAGTACTAGGTTGGTTCCTACCCCCACCTATGCTTAAGTAACGGATTCTGAGTTTGAACATGTAAACAATAGTTAATCAGCTGATTACTGTTTTGGAGCACCTGAGCCGTTTGGGGTCGCATTTATACGCCACCATCGATCAGCTGATTAACTATTGTTTAGATGCCTGAATATAAGGTCATCCATTAGCCTAAATCCAGTAATTAAAAGGGTAAAAAAATTTTATTATATACACATACCTCAGTTCTAATGAGTTGAACAGTTTATTTTTACATATTATGCAAGTGATCATAAATAATTTGACAAAACTTTCCAACATCATTACCATGTTTATGTATTCTTCATTAAGAAATAAGACGAGATTTCAAATTTTTCTACGTTTCGAAAAAAGAAGTTTTGGCAAGAGAAAAAAACTGTCAAGAAGATTTAATTCTGTAAAAAGTTTGAAGCGTACAACAAGTTCTTGTTTTTTTTGAGCAATCGATTCTGCTACCATAGAATGCAAAATATTTTCAAACAATCGTGACTCTTGCATAATAAAATTGTGACAATTTTTAATAAAACAGTAAAATTATATTTATTTTGAAACTTAATATTCTTTACATTCTATGGATTACTCTATTACTTTATTTACTATCAACGATGATTTTGAATAATTGACAAAGATGTCAATAATTACTTGATATAAGAACTGCGATAACATTGGTCTATGTCTACCTAGAGAATAAAAAAAAAACAAATTATAGGTCTTGATCTCTACTTAAATAATATTACTTTAAAAGTTCGTTGCGTGCATTAAAATACAGTAAAAATGAGCAAAAAGCGCTGAATAAAACGTTTAATTTAGAGTAAAACATTTACAAATTTATTTAACTTCATTATCGTCAAAGTCAAAGTTTAAGTCAAATAGACTTGAATGGATCAATGAGACTCTATTCTTCTATGGTACAA